TTGAAGGCCGCCACCCTGCTTTGCGTTTGCGGCCAAGACGCCTTCGAAATCGCAGAAAATCTTGTAGCACCTGTTCCAGTAGAGTCTGTAAGCTACGCAGACCTGAAGAAGCTGCTGAAAGAGCACTTCCACCCCAAGGTGTCCGTTATCTCATGGCACCACACCGTCCACTTCTACAGGGAGAGAGAAGTCCAGCTGAACTTCGTTGGGGGCGCCAACTTACTACTAGACTTGACCGGTTGCATCCGGACAGACTGCCTTCATCTACTCACATCCTAGGCACCTAGACCAAACATTGTGGGTGCCCCGGTTTGGGCTCGCAATTACGGGCCCTGGTCATACATGGGTCCCCGCTTCTGTGTCCAGGATCACAGGTCCTCTCTCCTACGAGGTTGCCCTGGACAACGGTCGTGTCCTGCGTCGGCACATCGACCAACTTCGCTCTAGGCGAGACTTTTCTGCTGAGACTCCTGGGTCTTTTCCAGGGGGGGAGGGGGACCCTTTGGAGCAAAGGGAAGGGCAAGAGCTACTGCCCACCTCCACTGAGGGAGCCACAAACGGCTCGTCCCAAGGTTCTGCAATTGCTCCGAAAAGAAAGTCATGGAGCTTACCCACACAACAGGCACTCACGCCTACTCCAGCCAGGGAGTCACCCCGGGGGCATACTCACTTTCCACACACATCACACAGCACTCCAGCAACGGAGGATACCCGGGGGCATCCCAACAAATCATTCCCCGCAAGAGAGCTGGCACACAATTCCCAAGGTTGGCCTGACCTTACCCCAAATCCTACAGGGGGTCAAACATACACAGAGTAGTCGAGGAACCAAGTCCCGACTACAACAACCCTAGCACAAATCAGGGAACACCTGAGTTTTGGGAAAGTACAGAAACCCACACGAGCCCGAACACAGAATGGGGTTCAGGGAATGGACAGCCTCCTGACAGGTCTTGGACTGACCTAGGAGGTTCTACAGAGACGCCCAGCAGCGGCTATCACTTCAAGGGGCCTGAGGGTCTACAGCTAGGTAGGTCAACCAGGTCACAAAGTAACAGAAGCCCTGGCCTGACGAGCCGGTGGGCAAGCAAGCAGGCCAGGCATCGGGGCACAGTCCTTGGAAGACACCAGGACACAATAGAGAGAACAGGCTCACGCCTCCCTCCAGTCAGGGGACTTATGCCAGTAATCCACAGCTAAGAAGGTCACAGAGAGCAAAGAAATCTCCCAAGTACCTAGAAGACTACATAACATTGCTGGCAAGGCAAAGGCCAGTAAACAGTGGGAGCACTGGGGACAAAATGTCATATAAAATAAATGTTGTATGTTGGTAGTAGTTTTAGCCCGGGGGAAAGGGGTGTTATGTCCCGAGCCTTTGCAAACGGCTCGGGCGTTTGCAGGCAGTCCCGGGCAGGTGCAAAGCTGCCCGGGACCAGACAGGCTGTCGCCAGCGCCGTGCGCATGCGCGGGTGCTGGCGCGGGAAAAGTAACCCATTTACCCGGGAGTTGCCTATATAAGAGGCTGCGAGGCGTTTGGGCGAGGCTGAAGCCATCTTCCTGTAAGCTGAACGCTGAATAAAAGAAACTGAGAACTCCAGCTGCTTCTCGTGTCTGTTTTCCCGCCAAGGACGCAACAGAAGCCATGATACAAAAAGGATCAGTGGTGGGATTCAAATATATGAACAACCCGGTTCTCTGTGTGGATGCTGCTTCCGGAAGTCCATTCTGGGCCTGGGCGACAAAAAATTAGCTAGCGGTTTTGTCAAAGTGGTGCCAACTGGCTGAATCCCACCACTGCCTAGGCCCTAGGATGCCAAGTTCATACATTGAAGTACCCAAAACTAAGCACATATCTGGTTTGAAGATTAAGAGGCTTTCACTGATTTTAAAATCAATCTTCAAAATGTTGTAATTGATTGAGGCAAATGTAAATGACAAGGGCAAGGACAATCTGGCGAATGTTAATCGGTTGTAAGTAATTGTTTCGTTGACAATGATCAAATGAGATTTCATTGCAATTATGCTTTAGAGATTAGAGTATTTATTTTATAATTCCCAAATCTTGTTTCCTTCTCCCTCTCTTTTTTCCACCTGTTCTTCTTTGTTAATAATGTTCATTTTTAAAAGATGGTTAAGTCCTTTTTTTGTTCACTCCTCCATTAGGAATTTTAAAAATCCTAATAAATTATATTCCTTGGTATGTATAACCTGGTATGTATAAGCAGATTCCATGATTTCAGGAATCCCATTTATCAGTGTTTTCCTGAATTGATAGTTGAAATACGAGATGCCATCATGATGCCTCCTCATGTTACATGAATTTCGTAGATGATTCCATTAAGCAGGTTTAATATTGTCTTGCTTGGAAAGCTGTGGCCTGCATAAATAAATCCTTGACATGCTTAGCCTGTTCTAAATTCTAATCAACATTTTGAAATAAATATGTTTTGAAAGAGTAATCTTTGGAACTGGAACTGATGAAAGTGGAAAAGTTTTTTCAAAAGATTAAAGAACATGAGGAATAAACAGTAAGCGAAATAAACTAATAAAATCTTTCATCTTTTCACCATAAGAAAGCTCTTCGCAAAATATCATTTGTAAATTAATATTTACTCGGTACCTGTTGATTAAGTTGATAGTAGTTTAGGCACTTCACATTGATAAACTCTCATTTTAACAAATTTACAGAGGGGTGAATCAACTGTTCTAAGTTAACAGTTTTAGAAAGTAATGAGCATCCTTGGCCTTTGGATTGTTTTATATAGCTTTTCATGATTCAGATGAAAACAGAAATACTGTGTACATTTACCAGAGGCTACTTTAAACCCTACGATATGATGGAGGGTTCAAAGAAAACTGAAGCCTCTTCAAGTTGAGCTTGACTCCTGGTGACTTTAAACAATTACGTAGTTTTCCTCCCAACAAAAACAGTTCACTTGCTACTGCTTTCTCCTAGGTTTTTGGACTTTTGCTTTTTTGTTTTTTGTTTTACTTCCCTATGTAAAAAAAATTTACAGTCTGGAACTCCCTGACAGATCCAACTCTTGCTTAGTTTCTGAGCCCAGACAAAATCTGTCAGGCTCAAGTTTTGATGAGCTTCATGGAGACTAGAAGGGAAGGGAAGGGAGTCAGGGAGGAAGGGGCAAGCAAGCAAGAAAAGGGAGAAAACTTGTTGAGGTGTTTTTAAGGGTGCTAAATTCACTCCAGGCGAGTAGGACCAACTCTCCTAATCTTCACAGACAAGCTGCAAAGGTGTCCTCAGCCATTTGCATCTTCAACTTGTTCTTTTGTTTATTTTATTCTCATCAACATACATAAAGCAACGCTTTCAATTTGTTGCGTTATTTAGAGGTGGGGGCTGCTCTTCTTCCTATAGATAAATGCAGTGTTGCAGTACTTTAAAGACTGACGCTTGCGGCAGCATTATTTTTGGAAGTCAAGGTAACTACCTCAGATGAGAAGGATCAGAAACGTGCAGATTCCAACTCATCTTAAGCTTGTCAGACTTCTGAGAATTCCAGAATTTAGAATATGCTTTTAGTACTAATGAAAGTAATGTTTCATACAGACGTAGAAGACCAATAACGGAGAATATTTGTAGCTCAGGGTGGAGGTGAGGGGTCCTTAGTGCTCTCCGAGCTTGCTTGTCTTCTTGCAGACGTTTCATTACCCAACTAGGTAACCTCATCAGTGCTAGAAGGGAGGAGGAGGAGGAGGAAGACTGTGGGGCCCTTGGTGCTCTTTGAGCTTGCTTATTTTCTTGCAGACGTTTCATTACCCTAACTAGGTAACATCATCAGTGCTAGTAAGGAGTGCTGTTTGCTGTCGGTTTATATTCTGGTGTCTTGCCTGTCTGGCTGGGTGTGGGCGGTCTTAGGGATTCTTTGGTTGGGCTGTTTACTAATGGCTCTGTGGCAGTTTCTTGATTGGGGTATTGCTTACTTTAGGAACCCCCAACCCCCGGTCCGTGGACCAGTACTGGGCCGCGGCACATCCAGTCCACACAAACAAGCGAAACCCCATCCATGGGATGCAGGCAGTATACAAGACCACGCACTCTCCGGTCCGCAGAAAACCTTTCTCCATGAAACCGGTCCCTGATGCTCAAAAGGTTGGGGACCTCTGGCTTACTTGATTGTTGGTCTGAAGTTGACCTTAGAGTTAATCTATGCTGATTGGAGTGCTGGTTACTGATGGAGAAGCCCAAACGAGAAAAAGACTCCAGTATTTTTCTACCAGTAATCAGCACTCAGATCAGCATAGATTAACTCTAAGGTCAACTTCAGACCAACAATCACATGAGCAATATCCCAATCAAGAAAATGCCACAGAGCCACTAGTCAAATGCCCAACCAAAGAATCCCTATCGTCCCCACCCACCCAGACAGGCAAAACGCCAGAATATAAACAGGTAGCAAACCGCACTCCTTGCTAGCACTGATGATGTTACCTAGTTAGGGTAATGAAACGTCTGCAAGAAAACAAGCAAGCTAAGAGAACGCCAGATGTAGAAAAGTCGTTCTGAGGGCATACTTCTTTCTTTCTGCTGTAGTGCAGGATTCCTGCACTGGTCAGGTATAGTCTACATCAGAGATCACCAACGTTTTGGGCACCAGGGACCGGTTCCATGGAGAGAGGTTTTTCCGTGAACCGGAGGGGACGTGGTTTTGTTTCCTGCCTGCATCCTGCAGATCGGGCTTTCCTTGTTTGTGCTGACCGGTTGCTGGCATGCCACGGACCGGGGGTTGGGGACCCCTGATTTAGATGATCTCCAAGGTGCTTTCCAACTCTTCTATTCGGCAACTCTACAAACAAAATCTTTGTATGCATTGATGCTTGGTTGTAAAGAAATAAGATAACCTACAAGTAGCCCTCTAAAGAATTTTGAAAGTCAAGACAGGGCAGCTATTTTCCTAACATCTAGAAGAACGTGAACGTAGCGTTACCGGTGTCCCATCCCTGTATCCATATTGGTAACGCCTAGTCTGGTTGTATTTCAGAGCTGTGGAATATGAACCGAACGTCAGTTTTTCATAGTCCATCTGGATCGCTTGGGCTTCATGTAATGCTTGTGGACGAGTATCAAGATCGGCTGTTTATTGGAGGAAAAAACCTGATATATTCTCTCAGCTTAGACCGAGTCAGTGAAAATTACAGAGAGGTACAGTACAATTTACATATCCTACGCTAATGGAGGAACTGAGTTTTTGAAGCATGAGAAAAGAGGGTGTGGGGGGGCTTGGATTTTCGAGGGTTTAGACATGGCATTTAAGGAGCACCCACCCTCAAGAGCTTTGACTGAGCAGGCTCATTCCAAAATATTCATTATATGGCGGCTCATTACCCTGACAGATTACATTTCTAACTTTTCCACTGAATTACCGTAATTAAAAGAGAGATGGCAGTTTATTTTCTTTTTGGGTTTGACATCCCTTTGATTGTTTATCCTCCTCCATGGGCCCATTGTTGTGAGATACCCTAAGACAGGGGTAGGCAACCTTGGCTCTTTTATGACTCGTGGACTTCAACTCCCAGAATTCCTGAGCCAGCACGGGGGAACTATGGCCCCTTCATGACTCATAGACTTCAACTCCCAGAATTCCTGAGCCAGCCATGCTGAGGGGAAAGGGAGAGGTTTCCAAGCTGAGCCATGCTGGCTCAGGAATTCTGGGAGTTGAAGTCCACGAGTCATAAAAGAGCCAAGGTTGCCGACCCCTGCCCTAAGAGGTGAGATAGTTGATCCTTTCTGCCAAGCAGATCCTCACGTCCAAGAGTAAAAGATTCTTCTGCCCCAAACTAGGTACAGTTAGGATGCATACATGGTGTAGTTCAGCTACTTTGGGAACAGCAGTTTGCCCCCATGGGTTAGCCAGTTAAACTGCACTGGTTTATTAAGTTGCATTGTGAATTGTTTAAAATCCCAATCTTTTCCATTTGCCCTTTTTAAAAGTATGAAAACCTTTAAAGAAAGATCTTTGTCAGATTTGCAGGATATATGGTTTCAAGATCAATGGGCAGCTGCAGCTGTAAACACTCGAATAAATACATGATAAAATCAGCAGGGCACCAGAAGGGAATAGTACAAAATGCCACGTACCCTGTGGGGGCTCAGCCACTCGCTTGCAACTGAAACCAGGGTGGTGCTGGGGTTCAACTGGACTTCCCAAACGGCCCCCAAACCCTTTGATCTCTCTCGTACCCACGGAGAGAAAGGGACCCAGAGAAGAGCAGCCGTTGCCAGTGGTTTTCAGTGAGTGAATTGGAGTGAACTAAATAAGCAGGGAATGCATTAAATATTGTGGGATTAATCATGCTTACTCTAGTTAATTGAATTAATAATGGTTAACTGATGGGAATGGGATGGGGCCAAGCAGACAGAGGGGGAATTAAATGCATCAGAAATAATCATACTTAATCGATTTCATTAATGGAAAATGAGAGCAGGAGAAAGGAAGCAAACTCAGAGGGAAATGGGTGCACAAGAACGTATCTCATTAATGGATTCTGATAAGGTTCAATTTGTTTGCTTAATTTGTTTACTTTAGAATCTGCGGGCCCTGCCCCCTTTTCTGCTTTAATCTTGCCTCTTTTGTGGGACTTGGGAAACCACACAAAGGGGGTCTGGGAATCATCTGCTTTGCCAGCCTCTGCTCTACGTAGCCTTAGATTTCTCCGCCGAATCATTTTTATTTATGTGTTTCCTGCCTTTATTATTTTTTATAAATAATATATAATATTCAAGACAGTGAAGATATCCAACACACCTTCCTCCTCCTATTTTCCCCACAACAACAGCCCCATAACAATAACTCAATGGATTGGGCTGAGAGAGAATAACTGGCCCAAAGTCACCCAGGTGGCTTTCATGGCTAAGGCGGGACTAGAACTCACCATCTCCTGGTGATTGGCCCAAAGTCACCCAGCTGTTTTTTCATTCCCAAGATGGGACTGGAACTCATCCCACTTTCTAGCCTTCACCACTAGATCAAACTGTCCTCATAAAATAGCAAGTTGGTAAGGAGTTTGGACATCATCTAGTGCAAGGGTAGGCAACCTTGGCTCTTTTATGACTCGTGGACTTCACTCCCAGAATTCCTCAGCCAGCCATGCTGAGGAGAAAGGGAGAGGTTTCCAAGCTGAGCCATGCTGGCTCAGGAATTCTGGGAGTTGAAGTCCACAAGTCATAAAAGAGCCAAGGTTGCCTACCCCCGATCTAGTGCAACATCCCCAGCTGATGGCCTTCCAGCTTCTCCAGTAGAGAATCTATCTCCACCCAAGATCCTTGATTCCCCTGCTGAACAGCTCTAACCACTAGACAAGCTTTCCTGATCATTCTCCTTGAATTAAAACCCATTGTCTCTTGTCCTGTTTTCTGGAACAATTTAATTCTGTCCATCTTAATTCTGTCCCATACCTGACAGTTATCAGTTATCTGCAGTCTTCTACAAGCCAGACATACCTCCATCCTGGGCCAACAATTACAAGTTCAGGGGATCACTTTTAAGGTCTTTACAACAGGCCTTAATCTCAGGATTACACGGGAATGTGGGAGTTCAGAAAAAACAAAGAATCCTGAGGTTCCATGCAGACAAATCCACAATCCAGGAATCAGAGTGGAATCTTACACCAGGCAAACGGTCTGTCAGAGAATAAGAAGGAAGTCAGGCCCAAGGTTGGATAGTGGTGTCAAGTCCACACAAGGTTGTCTCCCAACCTCTTGGTTTATAACTCTGACTCTAGCACGCCAGTTTCTACTGGGGAGCCTCAGTGATCATATATTTCTGTTCATGCAGAGGCTGCAAAAGGATTTGTTCCTCAGTCAACTGACAATTTAAATACTTCAGACATTCATCCTTCAAGAAAGCCTGTTCTTTCTGAAGTCCACCTGCATATATTGGTCAGTCCCTTGCTTACCGAAATTACTGAGATCAGAAACCCGCCAAGTCCTATGGTGTGACTCTTGACCATCACAACCTCCAACTAAGTGTACCAAGAAAGATGCCTTCAAATGTTCCTCACATATTTTTCCTTAATTATCATCCCCGTTCCTCTCTCTGGACAAGCCCCATTTTACTAATATCCTTGTTATAATGCTATCCTCAGAATCAAATACAATATTCTAATCCGATTAATGAAGAATGGACCAGGATGATGACTTGTCTTGATTTTGACAGCCCAGCTTTCTTGATTCAGCACAGGACTGCACCTGGGCTTTTTGTTTGTCTCACTGTTGCATCACGTTCAGGTTGTGATCTGAAAAGAAGCTTTTGTTTGGCATCTCACTCCGTCCCATTCAACATATGATCTAGCAGGCTAGCAAGCTCCTGTCATTCCAACATAGATGCCAAAGCATAAATTATTTATCTTTCTTTGTTCACTTTAAAATATAAACTATGGTGGATGCAACACAATTACTGGTGAAATTTAGAAAATACTTCAGACTATGATTCTGTAAACTATTATGATTGACAGCTTGCCAAAAGTTTTTTTAATCCTGGCAAGTACTTAGTACCAAGCCATGGATGTAATCATTTTGAGTAATTTTCAGAGTTTGTATATCTTGAAGGGGGGGGAAGCATTTATAATCAATTAGTTTTTGGCTTTATGTGTAGTACAAATTCATCTTGCATTCTCTATGTGGAAAATATTTAGCAATTAAGGACTAGCAGTCAAGAAAAGGCACTGCATTATGAAAGAACTGTAAATTTATTTTTGGGCTGTCTGTATATATGTAGAAAAGAACATTAGCCAAGTAGCTTTCTTCAAGTAGAAGATGGATTTATCCTTGATAAAATCCATTTGTTGGCTCAATAACTTGTTGGTGAGAAACTCTGAATTTGCAAGATATTTAACTTCATACTCTTTGGCAAAGAGAAAGTGAAGATTGGTGATCTAGAATTTGTGTCGGGCAGGACTATGAATAGATTGGTTTGATTCCCACCAGTATAATATAGATAGGGTTATCTTTCTATCTATCTATCTATCTTTCAAAATGTTTGCATATCATGAAAGCAATACACATCCAAATACATATTCATATATATCAGATGCCTACCATAACATGCAAAATCCCATAATACAAAATTATCTTTTTTGCCCATCACATGCCAAACTTCTGGAGGTGGAAATCTGGAGAAGATACTTCCAGATGTTCTCTATAAAACATGACTTATATGTACTTCCAAGAAGAGCTGAGAAAACTGATTTTATCATAACTAAAACTGATTAATCTATCCCTGTGAACCTGGATCAAGGTTTTCTGATTTTGGGGAGATTCTGATGAAACACATAATTTGGCATTATTTGTCCTCTGTTAATATATTTTATTTAATTTTTTCCTGTTAGGTCAGATTCTTCTTTGCTTAGTTATTAGCAAATCCTACAAGACTACATGCACAGCTCCCGCTGCACTTAAGAGTTCACCACTGTATGAAGGGGAAGCTATCATATTCCTCACATGCTTGCTATATGCTCATTGATTTAGTATCCATGTCCAGAATTAAATGAACACCTAAATATACATTAATATTTATTCCTATAAGCCACCCAAGTAGGTCACCATGAGTTGGGAGGCCATATAAATTCATGGGGGAGAAGGGGGGAGAGGGGAGAGTCAGAGAATACATAGGATAGATAGAAGACAGACAGACAGACAGAAGAGAGGATAGAAAACATACATACTACATACATATTTTTGTCATCCAGTACTTCAGTCAAATACTAGTTCTTGATAATGAAAATAAACATCTCCCAGCAAATTACTAAGAGATTCCACAGTGTAATAAAGCAGAATTTTGCTGCATAGTTGTGGCAACATAGAGATCACGCAGAAACAGAAGAGAGAAATATACTACTGATAAGCGATCTTAGTTTGAATGATGAAACAAAAGAGAGATTGGTTAAAAGGATGAGGGACTCCTATTTCAAGGGCAGAATAATCAAGCGTTCCAGTGGGTATTATTAATGGATTTATGGGCAGGCTTTGCATTTAGAGGCATTTATAACAAGAAGGTTTGCTCAGTCATTACGCAAAGTGCTCCATACGGGGAAGAATGATTTGGTGCATAATTTTGCCTTATTAATCTGACCAACTTTAGACTGCAGTTGTTTTAGAGCAGTGTGTTTTCTTAACCTTAGCAACTTTAAAATCTGTGGACTTCAACTCCCAGACTTCCTCAGTAACGCCGATAGTGATAATAATCCTTTGAATGATAAGAAACCTTATGAAAAACAAGTATTGCATTAACATTTAATGAGAAAAATACATAGTTATTACCATCTTCTAAATGGAGCCCTGTTTTCTTGCAGATTCATTGGCCCAGCAGTTCCCAGCAGGTGGAAGAATGCACAATCAAAGGAAGATCGATGGTTTGTATTCACTGTGAAATACTTTCCTTGTATTTTTGCTGATTTTTGCCTGCTAATTGAGAGTTCAAAAGGGTCTTGTTTTCATCTGGTTTGAGCAACATCCCACTCTGAGATCGAAAACAGTAATGGGACACCCCTTTTATCTGAAAGTTTGGGTTTATTTAACTGTAAAAGAATGCGAGGAAACAGCAGAGATTGTCACTAGAAAGCATAACAAATGGGGTAATTGTGAATATCCATTTGTGTCCTATACTCCTTTACTCACATCTCTCCTTCAGTGATCTTCCACAGACCGTCCAATAAAGATGCTCCTTCTCAGTTGCTTTCTTGGCTACATGTTTCTTATTTTTCCTCCATGACTCAAGGAAGGAATCCTCCTCTCCTTCTTCCATTGTCTGTGAGCTGAAAGATCACGAATGGACCATGATCCCGCAGTGACCTTCTACGGCTGAAGGTGGATTTTCATCAGGGATTCCCCTTCAGTTACAGCAGATTGCTTAATTCCCCCCCCCCTTTTTTTTTTATAACCTCAAGCAGAGTGAAGCCAGATTAACACGAGAGAGATTAAAAACAGACAGAACAGCCTGGAATCGATTATTCTTCTTGAATAGCCAACTCCCAATTACTCAAGAACCATGAGATCTGATTCATGAATCATAGCCCTTGGCCAGCTGGTAGCTGCACTCCCCCTTCCTTGGGAGAGTTGTTAAAAGGTCTTGAAGACCTGCAGGCCAGGCCATATGGTCCTAGCAGATATACCGGGTAGAGAAGTGGAGAAGTATTGGCACTGACTCTTAGAGGATCTGCTGTTTGCCCTCAAAGAGCTTACTACAGGTTTTGAATCCAACTGATGTAATGCATTTTTATAAGCTTGGCCTAAACCAGGGATCTCCAGACTTGACAGCTTTAAGACTTATGGCTGGCTGAGGAATTCTGGGAGTTGAAGTCCACAAGTCTTAAAGCTGCCAAGTCTGAAGATCCGTGGCCTAAATTAAAAACTTAATAATGTCCCTGGAATAAAAAATAGAATTGTTTTTTAAAAATACCAACCTACTTTTTACCTCTATGTTTTTACCTTCCCCCCCCCCCAGGAGGAATGTGCCAATCACATCTGTGCTTTGCACCGATACAACCGAACGCACCTGCTGGCCTGTGGAACGGGAGCCTTCGATCCCGTCTGTGCTTTCGTCAGAGCTGGCCATCAGTCGGAGGTAAGACATACGCCGCACAAAGCACGTCACGCACGTGCCCACGTTACGCAGAGCCCAGGATGGAGCGCGTCTTCAGGATTTGTTTCCCTGCAGGGTGGGAAATTGGACAAGGGATTCCCATTCAGCAAAATGTCTCCGAAAAACTGGCCAATCACTCCAGGCCAGATTTTGAAATCTGAGATACAAGATCCACGAGGAAATGCAGAAAAGCATTTGGCTGGTTAGTTTGTGGGTTGGGGGGGGGGAAGAGAGAGAAAGGGGGGGGGCTCAATTTCAGAAAAGTTAAAGAAAACCAATGGCAAAATGTAATCTCTTTCCATTGGTTGGATATTAGGTTCACCCCATTTTACTAGTTTTGCCATTCATTCAGTAGAATGATAGAAAAAAATTACTTAAGTTTGCATTTTTTTTCCTTGCAAGGAGGGAAAGTAGCCAGCCAGATACATTGTTTAAGAATGTCCTAATTCTTAATTAAGAAAAAAAAATGTCATTGCTGGTTGACTTACTGTACGTCTTCTATATTCATCTGATCGTTATTACTTACAAAATTAACCTGTGCAATAAATGTAGAAATCACTGTTTACTATGACAGCAAATGTGGGTGAGATTGATATGGTTCTCATTTTAATGTAGCCTTTTCTAACTTAGATATACCAACTAATACAGTGTTTCCCAAACTTGACAATTTTAAGGCATGTGGACTTCAACTCCCAGAATTGGGAGTTGCTGGCTGTGGAATTCTGGGAGTTGAAGTCCTCATGCCTTAAAATTGTCAAGTTTGGGAAACACTGAACTAATACATAAATTGGACTGCAATTACTCTACCTTTTTCTTTATGTATATCTTCTGCAAAACCTGTTTATAATGCCTCGAAGCAAACTGAGTTAAATTGCTAAATGCTTGCTAAATCCCTAATGTTAAATTTATCCCATGTGCTCATCCCATACTTTCCAAACTGCCCTTCTAACCAGAGATTTGTTAGTCCCAAACCACAATGATTTTGTGTTATATAATCCACACTTTTCCTGACAATAAACTAGAAGAAATAGATTTGGGGAACCCGAATTAGTTAGCACCTATATTAAATTATAGGAGAGAGACATAGGATTAAATTTACAACTAATTTTCCCTAGCCACAATTGCCAACCCAAAAAGAAAAGTATTCATGAATAATTTCTCTGGGAAATATTTTGAACATTTCTTAAGATTTGCAAAAACTCCTAATTTCTTGGAGCATAATCCAGGAGCGATATTTAAATTGATGTAGAAATGCCTTATACCGATCACATAGATTTGTCAGCAGTTATCCGTGGTTTGAAAGCCTGGTATGAACTGGAGAAATAATTGTAAGACTGCCATTTGTGTTTATGCCTGCTCACTTAATCTGAACAAATTTTATTCGTAGGTTATGTAATGCATGCATATGCTGTAAATTGTGAGAATGCCTTATCCTGCCACTTCAAGGCCGTCACATTTGTTCTTACTTGTGGGTTGTCACCAGTGATAAAGATTTGTGTAGATAAAACCCTGCAAGCAGGTTTACTTGTGCAGAATAAAAATTAAACAAACCATTCCATATGTTAGCATTACAATACTAATTCCTCAGGAAATCCAAGATAAACATTACAGATCCAAATCTTTGAGGTTTTGAGGTCAAAAATGTGTGTCATTGGGTATTAAAAGGTAAAATAAAGCCTTCTTTGAGTTAATTCTTGTAGACATTTAGGCAGGTTTTTTTTAGCAGTAATGCAGAAACTGTCCACCATGTTTCTTCACCTTCCTGTCTAGTCTATTTCATTGAGATTTCCACTGAAGCCTTGACTGACCAGGCCTGACCTTCACTATTTGTAAGTCCATGGAAAGTTTGCAAGGTTGCTTGTAAGATCAGATGAATATGACAACCTAGAGAGGTATAGTGCAATAATCTCATTTACAGATATATTTCGCTATTTTTTTGAATAAGTTTCCATAAAATTCCTTATTGCCAACTGGAACTTCTAGAGCAGGGGTAGGCAACCTTGGCTCTTTTATGACTCATGGACTTCAACTCCCAGCATTCCTGAGCCAGCTATGCTATTCTGGCTCAGGAATTCTGAGAGTTGAAGTCCATGAGTCATAAAAGAGCCAAGGTTGCCTACCCCTGTTCTAGAGGTATCCACCACAGTTTTCCTTGGAATAAAGCTCACTGGTAACAAGACATGTGTGCTTAACAGTGCTGGATGCTAGCAAGTCTCTTTGTGATGTCATACCACACCATACCTCAGATATTGTGGCCAAGCAGCATAGTTTCCACTAATCCAGAGTAATCCTGGATTGGGGTACTGTTGGGAACAGAGCCCAGGATCTGTCCAGGATCAGTCCAGGATCCTTATTTTGTAGCAAAAAAAAAAAAAGCACTAAGAAACCCAGATAATAACTCTTGTTACATAATCAAATTACACAATGATGACATGAGACGGTTACTGGAAGAACAAATTTGAGTGGGAAGAGCTGAAATGGCAGCTGATACCAGCCAAATGGAAGGATTTCGGCTTCTGGTCTGCCATTTTGGCTTTGAAGGCACACGGGACAAGAATGTTGGAGACCAGCCATTTGTGCTGTATGCCCGTCTGTCTATGTCAGGGGTAGGCAACCTTGGCTCTTTTATGACTCGTGGACTTCAACTCCCAGAATTCCTGAGCCAGCCATGCTTGTTATGCTTAAACTTCACTCTCAGGTAAGGTTCCTTAGGAAAAAAAATAATCAAAAATATACTCACAGCTTAACATTCTGGTGGTATCAGCTAATAATAACAGTTTGCTTGTTTTGCCCAAAGTGAGGATCTTGGATTTCAGTGTAAAATCAGGGCCTTCCCCTCCAGTGGCATTGCTCTCTTGCCCCTGTGCTTAGGCACGTCTGGGCCCAAAGCCAATCAGATCATTTGGGGAGGGTGGGGAATGAGACCCAGAAACCCTCTTTGTGAAAGTGACTAACCAGCAGGTGGTCTTCCCTGGTATTCCAACCCGTACTGTAAGGGATGGGCTGGAGAGTGGGCCAATGTAGACCCTCTCCAGCTGACCGTCTTGTTGCTGGACGTGTCTTTCAAACTTATACAGACACGCTGGGGTGCTCCTCGTCTGTTTTAACTCTTCTGCTAAGTAATAAGCATGGTGAGGGTTAGTTGATAAATCTTCCCAAGGCAAGGAATAGATAATCCACTTCTTCAAGTGGACCATTTCTGGGTGGGGACTGTGTGGTTAAACGCCAGTCCATTCCTTGAGCTGAGGGTCCATTAGAGATTGGGCATCTTTTCAAGCAGGCCTTCTCAATCATTTCTGCGTGATGATGGCTACACAGGCAGATTTCCCCAGCTTTCTCAGGGGAACTGTGAAATAAACTGATAACAGCTGTTGGAGGACTCATATGTGTACTATGGGATGTCAGCGTACATATGCGTATGTGTTTATATAGAAAGGGAAATAAAACTGACAAGGTGAAAAGCTCCGTATTAATTGTCCCTCTAAGCAGAGTTATGCCATGTTGTTCCTCACACGATCCATCTGAAAAAGATAGGAAACGTAGATAAATGAATATTGTTGTATTAGTAAGACATCTGTTAGGTTGGGTGAGTTGTATTAGTCAGGTGGAGCAATTGAAAAATGGGTTTTCCTCTCCTAGTAGATTGTAAAGCCATTGCATAAATCCATCAGCTGAAAGAGAAGGTATAGAAATAAAGGATGGAGGCAGCCATGGGACACCTGAACAACTAACAAATGGCCTGTAGCCAGCCCTTCTCTCTGCTTCTTAGCTGGTGGATGGAGTCACCACCTTAGGAGCAAGAGATGTGTTGTCTGAATAATGAGCAGAGGAGGAGGAGGAGGAGGAGGAGGAGGAGAAAGAAGAAGAAGAAGAAGAAGAAGAAGAAGAAGAAGAAGAAGAAGAAGAAGAAGAAGAAGAAGAAGAGAAGAAGAAGAAGAAGAAGAAGAAGAAGAAGAAGAAGAAGAAGAAGAAGAAGAAGAAGAAGAAGAAGAAGAAGAAGAAGAAGAAGAAGAAGAAGAAGAAGAAGAAGAAAATATTTTGCTTTCTCTCTTTTCATGAAAGGAAGCCAAAGGGGCACAGAAAACAGCCCTCAAGTAAATAAATATCAGATTGAGAGCATTGTGACTTCCCTACTAAGAGCAAAAAGCTACTGAAAGAGAAGGCACAGAACAAAACTTGCAACATCCCATTTAAAAGACCCTCCTGAATAGGGGCAGTTACACTCTTTCATGGGTTTGCTTTTTCCCCCCCACTGTTTAAAAAATGTCTACTGTTTTAATTTGATGAGTGCCAAGTCTGCAATGTTTCATTTCTAATGAATCCCAGCTCTGGATGCACCTAAATGGTGGGTTGTTTTTTTTCTTCGAGAGATTCTGCTGAGCTCTTGGGAAAACTGCAGCACTCACGCTGCCGGGATTTAGACCTACCTAAAGTGAGAATAGAATTGGTTCATTTATATGCTTAAACTCATCTTTTCATATGACTTGTTTCTCCAGAGAAGCTCCCACAAGTGCAAAATGTTTTATAATACAGAGATGAAGGATATTGTAGAAATGTAAGTCACCTTTGGCTTTCATTTGCTGATGTTCATAATTTTTATTTAATAAAGTTTATTTTATTAAAGTATCTTAAAATTTAAATAAAGATAGGTTTTCTGATTATAAACTTGATCATAGTTACTCAGTTCCTGCCTTTTATTTAATGTATTACATTTAAAATTGTTTACCTTCTTTTCAAAATTTATAAACATAAGCATTTGGGAAAAGCCATTTATCTGATTTATATCTGAGTACATATCGGATAAATGGAGTGATCAAATTAGTCCATTAGTTAAACTGATGTTTATTTATATTTTCCTTGATATTTTTGTACAAGTGATAAAATTGTTCGCTTTCAAAAAACTAAAATAGATTTATTAACATATTGATGCAGAGTCTCTGTTCTCCAGTGTGCCTTTGAATTTTGCAGCCAGCACTTGCAGG